TGTTGTGGTCCACACAGTCAAAGGCTTTGGCATAGTCAATACAGCAGAAATAGATGTTCTTCTGGAACTCTCTTGCTTTTTTAATGATCCAGCAGATGTTGGCAATTTGATCTCTGGTTCCTCTGCCTTTTCTAAAACCAGCTTGAAATCTCTGCACCTTCCCCTCAATTTTGCTGTGAACCTAAATCTTCTCTAAAAGATAAATTCTTAAAGAATTGTTTCAAGCAAGAAAAGTTCAAACACTTTAAAATCATAAATGCCACTAATGATAAGAATAAAGAATTAGCATGGATATTTGATAGGGAAACACCTAAAATTCTAGGAGGAGATGTTGGAGAAGTTTTTAAAAATGTAGTAGCAATTTATATCTAGGTTCCTCATTTCTCATTCTCAGTACAATACAAGCTTAAATAACAAATAGGCAAAATGAATTTAATGAATGATTAAATCACAGGGGAAAAAACCTCCAGGGAAGCCATTTTGGGCATATTTCCTAGTTTGTAAGGGAGACATCCTAATGAATAAACTGATACTTTTGTTGACAACATTGTTGACAAAAATATTGCTAATGAGGCTAAATGGCCAATTTACTTGACATATTGTTTCATTTTTCATGTTCTATTGTGTGAGCTGATCTTTTTTATTTTTTTTTAACTCTGCCATTATACTACCACAGTCATTATGGTAACAACTCAATGCACCCATGTAATATGCCTTACATATTTGGGAACACATTTATTATGTTATATATAAACATGAACTTCTTGTAAACATAAATCCAGATTTTACAGTATGAATGTATTATCATGACTGAAGCTGAAGGGAAAGTGTCTACATATTGTAATTAACATTACCTCTATCATTCTGCAGTTATATTTTATAGATAATTGGTCTATAAAAGAAAAGCCAGCAAATATGACAGATTTCATTCCCTAATTAAATCTGGCCATGAAAGATACTACTCTAAGCTTATGCATCAGTACTCTCCTTTCTATCTAAGAGAAAGTATAATATTGAATAAGAGGGAAATAGCAGGAATAAAGGGACTTGAAGGAAAGGTAAACACTGACTTCTTCACAATATTTTTTACAGTGGTAAGATCTTCAGAAAGCAACTATTTCATATGTCCTTAAATAGATATATTTACCCCATTTTGAAGGTATTACAAATATGCTGAATCAATTCTTCATTGTATTGATATAAATTTAAACTAACTGGATTTTGCCACATAAATTATTTCCCTTTGAGCTTCCTGAACTGAACAAGGAGAAGAGCTAGCTGCTAGAGAATGTGCTCCAAGAGGGCAGGGTTTGTCTCTGAATTGAGCTGAGGACAGAACTGGCTCTCACTGAAGGTTTGTTGAATACTACATGAACACATCAGCATAACATTCTTCTTAGCCTTGGAAGCAATTGTTAACATTTCCCTGAGCCTCTCCTTCAGAGCTTTGTTTTCCAAAAATTTTCTTCTCTTTTAATTAAGGTGCATCTACATATGTGGTTAGGGCTTCCCTGCTGGTTCAGCAGTAAAGAATCTCCCTGCAAAGCAGGAGCTGCAGGAGACCCGGGTTTGAGCCCTGGGTCAGGACGATCCCCTGCAGGAGACAACGGCTACTCACTCCAGTGTTCCTGCCTGGGAAATCCCATGGACAGGAGCCTGGCAGGCTACAGTCCATAGGGTTGCAAAGAATCAGACACGACTGAAGCGACTTAGCATGTCCACATGCACATGTGTGTTTATATATGTGTGTTTCGCTGTTTATACTAGATTTTTAACTTTTGGAGTTCAGAAACCAGTGCTGTTTTTCTTAGTTTGTATCCTAAAATTACCATAAAGTTCTATGCATTCTGACAATGTTCCATAAACACTTAAAAAGATAAATATCCATTCCTCTGCATTTTCTTCAAAGACCTTAATTTCTAGATGAGCAGCTGTAGAACTCTGAATTGGATGAGCTCTGACTAGTGCTAGGCATAGTAGAGTGGGAAATGGTTTCTATATGTGGCATATATGGGAAATAGATGACACATATTACCTAGGCTACATTAATCCTGATGAAGCAGGTAACAATTCTATCACTGGAGAATAGGGGAACTATAACCTGGAGAATAAATAAGAGGATGAAGTGAAGGCATGAGATAAAAATTAGAATTTCCTATAACTAAGTGAATATTTTAGAAAACAGTTTCTGGGGACTTGATTTATGCATATAATATTCACTTGGGATTTTCTTTTCATTGTCTTAAGCACAGGAAAGAGAATGCCTCCAGTTCAAAGTATAATTAACAGTAGTCACATAAAATGGTTTACAAAACTTTAAATTTCTACATGGTTTTAAAGTTGATTTTTTTTTTACTGTATTTTGATAAGAGTCATTAAAAAGCAGCATTTAGGGAAAGGATATATAATTAAATAAAACAGTAGGGTAACAGTCCTGTAGTAACTACAAGTTCTGTAAAAACAATTTCAACAATGGTTAGAAATAATTAAAATTGTATAAAGTCATATGAGCAGGATTCATATAACAACTGTGTTTTTATTATCAAAAATCTATCAGTTTAAATAGTTAATCTTTTTTAAGGGCAGTAGGTTCTGCTTATAATCATTTTCAATGGCTTTAACTGGAATTATATTCAATTTCAGTATATTCAAGATATATTATGTCAGCAATAATCATTACTATAAAGTTTAAGTACAAAAGTAAAGATGTTACTAATTCCATACTTTCACGGTATTATATAGTGATTAAAAGCCAGACCACTAGGGTTCAAATTCCACTTCTGCCACTTACCAGCTGAGAGAATCTGGGAAAATTACTTAACTTCTTTGTGCCTGAGCTTCTTGATCTTTAAACTGGGGATAATATGAGTACTTGCCTTATAGTCTTGGTGACAAGTAAATATATTAATATATAAGAGTGCTTAAACAATCCTTTGCATGTGGTATGAACTCAATAAACACTAGGTATTATTGTTATTATGATTACAGCAATGCAAAGAAATAGAGAAAACAATAGAGTGGGAAAGACTAGAGATCTCAAGAAAATTAGAGATACCAAGGGAACATTTCATGCAAAGATGGGCTCAGTAAAGGACAGAAACAGTATGGACCTAACAGAAGCAGAAGAGATTAAGAAGAGGTGACAAAAATACACAGAAGAACTGTACAAAAAAGGTCTTAATGACTCAGATAACCTTGATGGTGTGGTCACTCACCTAGAGCCAGATCCTGGAGTGTGAAGTCAAGAGGGCCTTAAGAAGCATTACTACAAACAAAACTAGTGGAGGTGATGGAATTCCAGTTGAGCTATTTCAAATCCTAAAAGATGATGCAGTTAAAGCACTGCACTCAATATGCCAGCAAATTTGGAAAACTTAGCAGTGGCCATAGGACTTGCAAAGGTCAGTTTGCATTCCAATCACAAATAAGGGCAATTCCAAAAAATGTTCAAACTATTGTACAATTGTGCTCATTTCACATGGTAGCAAAGTAATGCTCAAAATTCCCCGAACTTCCAGATGTACAAACTGGGTTTAGAAAAGGCAGAGGAACCAGAGACCTAATTGCCAAATTCCACTGGATCATAGACAAAGCAAGGGAATTCCAGAAAAACATCTACTTCTGTCTCATTGACTACATTAAAGCTTTTGACTGTGTGGTTCACAACAAACTGTGGGAAATATTTAAAGAGATAGGAATACCAGACCACCTTACCTATCTCCTGAGAAACCTGTAGGCAGGTCAAGAAGCAACAGTTAGAACATTACATGGAACAACTGACTGGTTCAAAATTTGGAAAGGAATATGTCTAGGCTATATATTGTCACCCTGCTTATTTACTTATACGCAGAGTATACATCACATGAAACGCCAGGCTAGATGACTCACAAACTGGAATTAGGATTGCCAGGAGTAATACCAACAACCTCAGATATGCAGATGACACCACCCTAATGACAGAAAGTGAAAAGGAACTAAAGAGCCTCTTGATGAAGGTGAAAGAGAGTGAAAAAGCTGGCTGAAACTCAACATTCAAAAAACCAAGATCATGACATCTGGTCCCAACATTTCAAGCAAATAGATGGGGTAAAAATGGAAACAGTGGCAGATTTTTTTATCTTGGGCTCCAAAATTACTGCATACAGTGACTGTACCAATGAAATTAAAAGACACTTGTTCCTTGGAAGAAAAGTTAAGACAAACTTAGCATATTGAAAAGCAGATATCACTTTCTGACAAAGTGATGTCAGTATATATATATATATTTTATATATAGCCAAAATTATGTTTTTTCCAGTAGTCATGTATCTAAGTGGCCATAATGAAACATAAGTGACAATGAATTGATGCTTTTGAATTATGGTGCTAGAGAAGACTCTTGAGAGTTCCTTGGACTCTCAAGGAGATCAAACCAGTCAATCCTAAAGGAAATCAACCCAGATATTCATTGGAAGGACTGATGCTGAAGCTGGAGCTCCAATACTTTGGCCACCTGACTCAAAGAGTAGACGCATTGGGAAAGAGCGTGATGCTGGGAAAGAGGAGGCAGGAGGAGAAGGGGGTGACAGAGGATGAGATGGTTGGATGGCATCACTGAATCAATGAACATGAATTTAAGCAAACTCTGGGAGACGGTGAAGGATAGGAAAGCCTGGGATACTGCAGTCCATGGCATTGCCAAGAGTCAAATGCAACTTAACAACTGAACAATGATTTTAGTAAATTGGAAATGTAATTCTAGAGAATAAAAAGTTTCAAATATGTAACTTTTTTGAAACCAAGTATCTTTTTCTACAAAACAAAAAAATTGATAGTCTGTACTTCCCACATTTAAGTGTTTGTATTTACATGTTCTAAGTGGTTGGGGGGTGTCAGGCTGAGTAAATAATCACATTAATAATCTTAACTCCCAATTGAAACAAATAAGAACAAATGGTCATTCTTGGATAATCCCTAAAACTAAGTGAATTACTGACATATATTTCTGTGATTCCTTGCAGACATCATGGAAATCAGGACAGTGGCCGTTGGAATTGTAGCAATCAAAGGAGTGGAAAGTGAATATTATCTTGCAATGAACAAGGAAGGAAAGCTCTATGCAAAGGTATTGGTAGATAATAGCTTAGACTTAATTTCTCAAACTTATTTTTGACAAAAGTATCTCCCCTTTCTGAAAAGTAAAAATGAAATTAATTCCTCTCAAACTATGTAATTCAATGATTTCATTAAAATATTTTCTATTTAGGAATTAAGGAAAAATGTTTTCTGTGTCACCTGGGACAATTTGTTTAAGCTCTCTGGCCTTTGTTTCATCATCTGTAAAATAAGTTGGATTAACTGACCCTTGAGGATCCTTCTGGACTTCCCCAATGGCTCAGTGGTGGAGAATCCACCTGCAATGCAAGAGATGTGGGTTTGATCCCTGGGTTGGGAAGATCCCCTGGAGGAGGAAGTGGCAATCCACTCCAGTATTCATGCCTGGAGAATCTCATGGACAGAGGAGCCCGGCGAGCCACAGTCCAAAGTGCTGCAAAGAGTCGGACGCGACTTAGCGACTGAGCATGCATGCATGCAAGGATCCTTCTAGCTCTAAAATTTCATTTGCACTTTAGATACTTAAAATATAAAATTTCCAGCTATCAGCTCTTTTTGTTAAAGTTCATGCAGTTTGCACTTTGCTGATATGAAAATTCTTGGTGAAAAAAATCCAGACTTTTGTTTATCAACATCAGTCTCACAATGATGGACTTTTGACTTGTAAGCATTCCCACTGTTTCAACTTTATTACAATACAAAATATGTAACAGTTTATCCCGCTATAATACAGTATAATTGGCTTTTCTTTTGTATTCCTGGCATAGACTACATAAAAATATGTTTGAATGAATGACAAGTTGGATGGATGAGCAAATTAACTTTTTAATTTTCCACCACAATCACAGGTAGTATAATAGTAAATGAATAAAAGTTGTAAAATATGACTTCAGCTGAGGGAAGCAGTATGTGTGTGTGCTCAGTCAGAGGATCTGCTAATTATATAGAAATCTCAAGGTTAGGAAAAGAGTGACTTGGGCATAGTAATATGAAAGCTGCTAATTAGAGGAAAATAGCTCTTAAGAATAGTAGCAACTGATTGCCAAAAAGCAACATGTTTGGAACTATGTTGCATAAGTAAATGTATAGCATTTTAGCTTTGTAAAAAAATTTATCTTTTTTCAAATATGCTATCCAACAAACTGCATTATTCTTGATCAAAAAAGTCCTGTAGGTTTTAATTTTACTAAATATTATGCTTATTCTTTGAGTCCTTCTAAAAATCATTTGGATAATGTTGTTTGTTGTTATTCATTGTAGAAAGAATGCAACGAAGACTGCAACTTCAAAGAATTAATTCTGGAAAACCATTACAACACATATGCATCAGCTAAATGGACACACAGTGGAGGAGAAATGTTTGTTGCCTTAAATCAAAAGGGGGTTCCAGTTAGAGGGAAAAAAACGAAGAAAGAACAAAAAACAGCCCATTTTCTTCCTATGGCAATAACCTAATCATATATGGCATATAAGAAACCAGTTCCAGCAGGGAGATTTCTTTAAGTGGACTGTTTTCTTTTTTTATCTTTTCTTTTCTCTTTTTTAAACTAACCAAGAAAGGCTGGAAAACTACTGAAAAACTGATCAAGCTGGACTTGCGCATTTATGTTTATTTTAAGAGACTGCATTAAAGAAAGATTTGAAAAAAATATACACAAAAATCAGATTTAGTAACTAAAAGTTGTAAAAAGTTGTAAAACTGGTTGTACAATCATGATGTTAGTAATAGTAATGTTTTTTCTTAAGTTAATTTACCCTTAAGAGTATGTTAGATTTGATTATCTGATAATGATTATTTAAATATTCCTATCTGCTTATAAAATGGCTGCTATAATAATAATAATGCAGATGATGTTATATAAGATGTGTCAGACCTAAAGGCTGCTGGAATGATTTGTCAGATAATCAAGCCAACACTAACTATGGAAGATGAGCAGTATTTGAATACATTCTAGTGAAAAATTATGCACCACTCTAATTAGAAAAGAACAAGTATTCTCAAAAATTCTATTATGGAAATGAGTCAAAGAGGTAGTTTTATAAAAGTATAGAATTAGAACATGCTTGTACCTACCGATTAACAAGAACAAAATTTGTAATGCTGCTCCAACTGAAAGGGTATTGCTTACAGGATGTTTTAAAAAATCTTGTATATAAAATAGCAACAATGATGATAATACTGTATTTCATCTCACTCACCACAAAATAACATTTTATAATCCCTAAAAGTAAAATTCAAAAATCTTTTATGTGTTTTTGAAGTAACATAATCTATCTTTTGTATAATTCATATTCGGGAATATGGCTTTTAATAATGTTCTTCCCGCAAATAATTGTGCTTTTCTTCTCTGGTTACAGCATTAAACTCTATTTTAAGTTGTATTTGAACTTTACTGTTTTGTTATTTAAGTTTATGTTATTTATAAAAAAAAAACAACCTTAATAAGCTGTATCTGTTTCATATGCTTTTAATTCTAAAGCAATAACAAAACCGTCTGGCTCCACTGCAAGTCCCCCTCCCCCTTGTGACCAACATCAAGTCTAGTACACAGCAGTCAGGCCAGTAAATCCTGGATGGCAGACAAAAATGACAGCCTGCAGCATTTCTTACAATAGTTGTCTTACAGGGAACAATACAAAAATGTGAAATATGTTTTGCAACATATTCTCGTCAACTAAATTGGATCTTATAAGTAAAATCACTGCAGATAAAAGGACTTACAGGATTTAAAAGTTAAGCTTTGTTTGAGTTCATGAGAAGAAAAGTAAAATACTTTTAAAATATGCATACTTAAGTTAGTAGTTTTTCTAATCTCTAGAAATCTCTGCCATTTAAAATATGCCAGCATTGAAAGCTGCTTTCCTATTGAAAGGGGAAGACACAATGTCTGAAGTGGAGTCTATAGTTAGGGATTTGAGACTCTGAATAAGTAATCAAGGCTTGAGGTCAGGCTACATATGATGGACTTATTGGAAAGATAAACTTCTACTTCATAATACTTCCATTAGAAGACCTTCATAGTTCTTTATTGTTCAATAGAAGGTCAACATTTATCTAAGTTAAACTGGTGATATGCTAACAATGGTGGTTTTGATTTCAAACTATTTGCCATTTAAGTCCCTTTATTTCATACAAATATCTCATAAAACATTTATAGGTAAGAATTACATGCAAAGGCTAGGTCAACAGAAATAACAGATTCATTTGATTTTCTTGTGGTTCACCTACATGATGAGGCTGTAGGAAGCTATGAGGGATTGCCTGTCCTCAGGTATTCTCTGGGAAAATGCCATGCCTGACAGTCTTTATTATTTGACTCCAGGGCCTTGCTAACCTAGGTTCCTAGATCAGGCTTCTGTGCCCAGTGTCTTGGGAACATATTAAGAGAAGAAAAGAATCGATGTTTCTCATTATTTGTTTTCCTTAACTGCCTAGCAGAGTGTCTCTACCCATAATCAATTTTTTATATTAATTCACTCAATATTTAATATCAAAGCAAATTCATAATGAAACTATTTTAAATTAATTTTAAAAAGTTAGCAAAAACCACTACAATATTGTAATTAGCCTCCAACTAATAAAAAAAAAAGGAAAAAAAAGTTAGGGTGAAACATGGTTATATGGAAATTTAAATAGAAATAGTGTGTATGTATATAATCTATGAGCTATATTAGGATCAAATACTCTGACTAGAGTTATGCTCATGAATAAATTTATAAAGCAAGACTGAATTAATCAATATTTAGCAGTAAATCTGATCCAGTAGTGTTTCTAGAAACACTTAACAATTCTTTATCCTTCCCCCTTTATTTATACTTAATGTGCAAGTTTTAGAAAATAAAATCTGTGCTAATTACATACACTTAGAATTCAAGAGTCTTACAAGTACAAGGAATCTTAGTCCTTACTATTCATTTGTAGACAAGGGAATTGAGATTGTATTTTAATAGATCCCAAATAACACAGCAGGTTAGGTTCAGAGCTGCAACAAGAGTTGAGCTCACTCAGCATGTGCTTCTTGCTCTTAGATGATTATAATTATTAGTTAACAACCTTTTTAAAAAAGTATTAGTACAGAAATACAACCTTTACATTTGCATGCAAATGTGCCATGTTTTGGCAATTCATTTGATATATAATAATTAGTCTATACTGTGATGATTTGAATCAAAAGGAGGAAAAAAATGAAATTTCCAATTCTGATTCCTATTCAACTCTCACATGCACCTGTTTATTTACAAATGGAGATCATTGTGCAAATTAGCCAGATAAACAGTAATCTTTTCTAAATGTTCTTTGAAAGAGAAAACTGGTTAAATACATTGGTTTCCAAGAATTAGGAAGGAAAAAATTAAATAGTTAACAAAAGAATAAAAAATACATTTTCAATGCAATTAGTGAACTAAAATATTTTTACATAAAAATGCTATAATATAGATTATCAGGCTTTGAGCTGGCAAAAATTCAACTTAGTGACAGAAAAGAAAGGATGCCGGATATAAATTCTTGGTTTCCGTCTCTTAGTGTTTGCCCTTCTGGTCCCTAAAGAACGGAGAGACGGACTACGGAACTGGCTGTGTGTTCGTCAGTCGCTTTAGTCGTGTCCGATTCTTTGCGACCCTGTGGACTTAAGCCCACCAGGCTCTTCTGTCCATGGGATTCTCCAGGCAATAATACTGGAGTGGGTGGCCATGCCCTCCTCCAGGGGATCTTTCCAACCCAGGGATCGAACCTGTATCTTGTGCATTTCCTGCATTGCAGGCAGATTCTTTAACTACTGAGCCACCTGAGAAGCCTGGAACTGGTTGTACTAAAGGCAATTCTCTAACCACAAATATCCTAAATCAATGCCTCTCAAATTTCCTACTAAAATACCAATAATAGTAAAGGTAGAGAATGAGTCTAAGGAATAATGAAAAGGTATCCCACCAAAGATACAAAATTTCTTGAAAATTTTTCTTAAAACTCATCTGATTCTTACATTTTATTCCATAATACACTTATGTCTGCTTTAATATAAAATTCACACCAGTGGAAAAAAGTGATATGTCAGAAAGATGTATAAGTTTTATCATGTGGCTTCATTTACACTACAATCCTACTGCCATATAACTAGGCATGAATAAGACACAAGAGATCCTGTACTTCTTACAGTTCAACTTTACACACAGATGACACTTGGTTAAAGAAAACCAAAACTTTATATATTATAAAAGTTTGCTATGAACCACAGTGACATTAAAAATATTTAAGGACCAGTATGAGTGGTTGATGCCATCAAGGTTTTCATTCATTATGTCAGCAAATCTGGAAGACCCAACAGTGGCCACAGGACTGGAAAAGGTCAATCCTCATCCCAATTGCCAAGAAAAAAAGTGAAAAAATGAAGTCACTCAGTTGTGTCTGACTCTTTGTGACCCCGTGGACTATAGATTACAAGTCCTCCGTCCATGGGATTTTCCAGGCCAGAATACTGGAGTGGGTTGCCATTTTCTCCTCCAATTCCCAAGAAGGGTAGTACGAAAGAAGATGCTACCCATCACACAACTGCACCCATCTCACATGCTAGTAAGGTCATACTTAAAATCTTGCATGCTAGGTTTCAGCATTATGTGAACCAAGAACTTCCAGATGTCCAAGCTGGGTTTAGAAAAGGAAGAGGAACTAGAGGTCAAATTGCCAACATTTGCTGGAGTATAGAGAAAGCAAGAGAATTCCAGAAAAACGTCTATCTCTGTTTCACTGACTATGCTAAAGCCTTCGACTGTGCTGACAAGCTGTGGAAAGCTCTTAGAGAGACGGGAATACCAGATCATCTTACCTGTTTCCTGAGAAACCTGTATGTGGGTCAAGAAGCAACAGTTAGAACCATGTATGGAACAACTGACTTGTTCAAGATTGAGATAGGAGTATGACAGGGCTGTCTGCTGTCACCCTGTTTGTTTAACCTATAGGCTGAGCACATCATGAGAAATGCTGGGCTGGATGAGTTACAAGCTGGAATCAAGATATGCGGGAGAAACATCAACAATCTCAGATATGCAGATGATACCACACTAATGGCAGAAAGCAAAGAACTAATAAGCCTCTTTTTTTTCTTTCTTTTTTAAGTAAATTTATTTATTTTAATTGGAGTCTAATTACTATATAATATTGTAGTGGTTTTTGCCATACATTGACATTAATCAGCCATGGGTTTACATGCGTTCCCCATCCTGAACCCCCCTCCCACCTCCCTCCCCATCCCATCCCTCTGGGTCGTCCCAGTGCACCAGCCCTGAGAACCCTGTCCTGATGAGCCTCTAGATGAGGGTGAAGGAGTAGAGTGAAAGAGTCAACCTAAGACTAAATATTAAAAAAATCTAAAATCATGGCATCTGGCCCCATTACTAAGTGTCAAATAAACGGGAAAAGGTGGAAGTAGTGACAGATTTCCTCTTCTTCAGCTACAATA